GCGGCGCAGCGCAGGGATAGGACCCCAGACGGGGCCCTTAGGGTGCAGGCAGCCTGGTGGTGCAGTGGTTAAGCACTTAACTGCCGGAGGAAGGGTCGGTGGGTTTAGTTTAAACCTATCTGGTGATACCTCGGGGCAAAAGAAAAAAAAAAACAACTAGCAGTGTATCAAGGATTGTGAGGCTTTTGATCCACTTTTAAGCTTGTTTCACTGACAGGGAAATACACGTGGGCTCCGCCCACCCCCCAGAGAATCCCCCCGTAGCAGCCTTGCTCACATGCAAAAGTGGATTGTTGCAGATGCAGTCTTAGTATTTTCCTTGAGGCTTTTATTTTACTTCGTTAGTTTTTCTGTATATAAAGTCTGGGGTAGAGACAATAACTGGATTAATGGATCCCTGGGGGTATGGCAGGGGAGGTTGGGGAGAAACAGGGAGCTAATAACAGTACAGGAATGAAGAAAATGTTCTGAAACTGATTGTGATAATTGTACAACTCTTCTTGATGTAATTGGGCCTATTGGATTATATCATGTGTGAATTATATACCAATAAAACCGTTGAGGATAAAATGCGCCCTGGTGGCCTAGAGGTTAGGTAGAGTTGGGCTGCTAAGCACAAAGGTTGGCAGTTCAAAACCAGCAGCCCATGTGACAAAAAACCACATTCTACTCTGGTCTATTACAGGAAAGAGGTTACTAGGAGTCTGAAAACTCACTGGCTGAGGGCAGCGTATTTGCTTCCCATCAATCCATACACCATGTAGAACAGTCTTTAGGGAGTTACCATCAGCCTTGATTCACACCCCGATTATGATTCTACCCCTCAAACCCTGACGCATGGGCAAACATTAATAAAAATCAGGAAGTGGTTAAAAACCAGGCAATTCTGCTGTACTTACGGGTCACTAAGAATTGAAGATACGTAACAAAGACCGGCACCATGTTACCTGGGCTCCCTTTACTCGGTAGGGATTTGTCTATGCTTTGACTACGTTGTGGCTTCCACCACATTGAAAACACAATAGAAGAGGCATTGTGGAAAAGGGGCAAGTCTCCCCAGAGGGAGAGACAGGAAAAGAACACCGAGGGCCAGGTGGAAAGGCATGCTGGCACTCTAGGGAAAAGCAAGCCTGCCTGCAGGCTGACCTTGGCAAGGTTACTATTGCTTTGAGGATTAATCACCAAAACATTTAGGCTGAGTGGTGGTTGTCACTCAGATCTACTGCCCAACAGTTCAATCCCCAGGAAATCTTAGCAGCAGCCCACGGACAACCATCTGCCCCCTTTGTGGAATACCCCTTGAACAGACAGGGTCCAAGATCAAGCCTGTGCTGGAGCCAACCCCACTCTATACCCGAGAGTTCCCAGAGCAGTTCCTGGGCTACTCGACTCACCCCATGCTTGTTTCCTGTTACGTTACATGAAGTTCTTGCTGTCATGAAACCGTGGAACAGGGTCAATATGGAGTCATTCTGCGTACCCCACCTACCCAACTGGCTAGAGCCAGTAAAGGAGATCTAACATT